TCATTTTTCAGGTGAATTCTGAACTCTGAGCAATTGCAGGACTTTCATAATGAGGACAATCCAGAAGGGATTGCCCTCATTATGAAAATCTCTGCAGTTTTAGAAATTCCCACAGGGTATGAGCGGTGGCGGCGGAAGTGGGCAACCGGTTTTGTCTATTTATAGAAATTGTAGCGTCAACACAACTACTGTCACAACGCCGGAAATGGTCGCGCACGTGAAGAGCGATCCGAACAAACGGTTGTTTAGAAGGGTGGGTGAAAAATGATTCAGTCGAAGCTTCAACTAAGAACCAACGACATTCGATAAAACGAGGTGACTGGAATTTATAACCTTATCGATAACAGCGAAAATAGGTGTTCGGGATCAAATAGTTGAGACTACGCTAGGTAAGACAATATAAAAAGGAGGTGACTAATAGAAGTGGAACGAATGGACAGAAGAACTATGACCGGAAATAATTAATAATTTGGAATAAAAAATTAAATAATTTATGGGGTTAAACGAAACAGAACTGAGCAATGGTATAGACCCCAGGTCACCAAGCTATTGAACGAGTCAAAAAGCAACTCGAATAGACATGGGCGTATCAATCAACGAAAATGTCCCACACTATTGTATTCTGATAGGCGGAAGTAACGTAGTGGCAAGTGACGCACTATCACATACCCATGGTCACGAGTTTGATTACCAAATCAGTTACCGCCTAGGCCAAACAAGCATCCTTTCCCTCTGGAGTCGGTGAATTGGTACCAGGCTCGCGTGCGAGGATAAAAGCACTGACTTGTACATTGGCTGGCTACCGCAAGTCATTGTACAGGCCACATACGCATTCAATACGCTGCTGCCATTCTGAATGAAAGTTGAATGGGGGGTCCATCCTTCAGGCAGGACCGATTAATCCCAGAAGACCTTATTCTTTATCCTTTCACTGTATTCTGATAGTGTACAATGTGGGTACTGCGGTTAACTAGGTAGTAAAAAAGGTTTTTTCCAATACTATTAAAGGCACATTTCACGATAAAAATGAATTTTGAGATATCCCGTCAGAACAAAATTGTAGGACCCTCGTATATGTGGTGCTATCATACCTTGAAACGGTCCAGATAGGATGTTATAAAGGTACGAAGATTGTACGGTGTATATCCTCAGACGACTTTCACCGGCACTGTAGAGGCTGCACCAATCGCAGTGGAGCCAATGTAAGTGATCAAACAACTTGTCATGAACCATAGTGAGAGTGGAAAGTAGATCTGCATAGTGCTGGCTTGATGTAGTCAGTTCTTTGCGCAATTGCAACAACTGAACGTACGAATACCCCTTCCATGTTTTTCACGTCATGGTAATCTCGTCCAACCTCTACCATCCCTACCTTTGTGGAGCCTTTTTTTCTCGAAATCGGCGAATTTTCTAACTTTCTTCACTACCGATGAATTATTCTCATACTACACTTCCGCAGGCCGACCAAAAAGGGTACCTCTAAATCATCGTGGTGTGCCTTCAAGTAGCACTTGTCGGTAGGAGTTATCGCTTTTTCCTTATTCACAACGTTCCCATGCTGCTGAGTTCAGCTTTTTCTCCGAGTACTGAAGGTGAATGATTAGATTACGCCTTAAGGGATGCTTCTAGTTCTTGAGCAAAATCTGTGGTGTTGATGTAAAGGCTCACTTATCGATTAACACCTATGTATTTTTGATGGCTTCATTCAAGAAAAGTTGTTGTGACTCATTAAAGAGCTGAATTGCAGGGGGATCACTGATTCTAACCGGTACAACTGCCTTCATTTACTTTTAATTCCTTTGACAGTTAGTGCATCTTCGAGAAATATTAGCGTTAGAAGAGTTCCAACGAGGACCTTCGACCCCGAACCCCCATTTTCTTCTCTAACCGTAAGAACCGTTCTTATCTTTACACTGCAAAAATCCTTTTTCTTGATTGCGAATCGAATGTGAATTTACTATATGATCAATATGTCTTAAACTGATGATTGGAAATGCAAATAACTGGAAATACAGAAGCAAATCCAAGAAGACCTGACGGGTTCTGAATTGTTGTTTTATTTTCCATTTAAATTTGTCTTCCGGTGGGTGCTCGCCCCGCTAACGTTTTCAACGTTGTAACACCAACGCTGTCGTTGCCGCCGTGCACTTGAAAGTTGAGAAAAATAGCTTTTCTGGTGGGAAATCGGAGCTCAACAGTGGTAGCGGCATTACGTAGAGGGTATCGGATTGACTAAAAAATGTGCTATAAAACAATGTGTAGCCTAGGTCGTTTGGTCACAAGTAAAGGCGAACAACGAAGAGAGGAAAAGGGGAAGTTCGCCTTTTTAGTGGCTTTTATGCCATAGCTTATCAGCACTCACACGTAAAACGTGACGAGCCGCTCAGCCAACATCAGCATTAAATCGTAAAGGCACAGTTCACGATAAAGATGGTTTCTGAGATTTCCCTATTGGATGAATTCGTGATCCTCTCGTATACCATGTCTGGCGCTATTAGGCCGGAAAACGTCTAATGGTAAGTTGGGGAGTTATAAAGGTTCAGAGATTGCATCGTGTGTATCCCCGGACGAGTTCCATGGCATTGTAGGGGCTGCATCGTTCACAAGGGAACCCATGTAGAAAGTTCAAACTACTTCTCATGACTCATAGCGACAGTGAAAAACAGTTCTGGACAGTTCTGGCTTGATGTAGTCAGCTCTTTACGACTGAAATCTCGTCCGAATACCCCTTCCATGTTGTTTTCATCATGGTAATCTTGTCCAACCTTTACTTTCCTTATTTTTGAGATGCCATAATTTTCTAAAAATTGTGGGATTCTCCCGCTTTCTTCACTACCGATGAACTATTCCCACATACTTCCGTTCTTCAAATAAAAACGGGTACCTCAAAATTATCGTGAATTGTGCCTCTAAGCTAAAAGCTTCAAAAGGAAAGGGCAAGCGGGGAGTCGGTAGAGCAAGGCAGAAGGCCACTTCTTTCTGTTTCTGTTTTCATAGAATGGCTACATATAATTCCATAAAGACTATCTCGGAAAGTTTCCAGCTAGGTAGTCCCTATAATCTTACATATCACCCAATGTTGACTGTTCTTTTTGTTAACTGTTGCTGTAGAGTTTTGACGAAAAACATTTTTTCCGAACCTTCATCGGATGGTAGCCCGCTTTGACCATGTCCTTTCCTTGTTTGGTACCAACGTATGGAATTTCTCTCTTTGTCCAGAAAGGTCGGTAATGGCCGATGGGTTGCAGTACAAGTCAATATTGATCGATATCGATTAGCAGATATAGGCCACTACTATGATAACGAAGTCTTTTGCTATATCTCAACTACATCTTTGAAGTTGAACGTTCTGAATCCACAGTGAACTAAGGTAGAAATGCCCAGTCAATTTGAAATTTGAAATTTAAACTGTCAATATTGATCGATATCTGCCGCCACCATCGCGACTATGTTTCCATCTATACTCTCTCAAAGTTTTACTTTTACCTTTTCACATTTCAGAAGAGCTCAGCTACCAACACACATCAAATGGATATCCATCGGTATCTGATGTTAGTAATGGACGGTATACATAGACTGATATGGGCCTGGTTTATGAGTGAAGTTTTTTCAACACTTTCAGCGGCTCGTCCGTCGTTCAGGCTCAGTCGTCCTCCTTCGGGNGTCAATATTGATCGATATCTACCGCCACCATCGCGACTATGTTTCCATCTATACTCTCTCAAAGTTTTACTTTTACCTTTTAACATTTTAGAAGAGCTCAGCTACCAACACATATCAAATTGATATCCATCGGTTTCTGATGTCAGTAATGGACGGTATACATAGACTGAAATGGGCCTGGTTTATGAGTGAAGTTTTTTCAACACTTTCAGCGGCTCGTCCGTCGTTCAGGCTCAGTCGTCCTCCTTCGGGTCCTGGCCCAACTTGAGTCGAACATCAGTTTAGACAACATATTCAGCACCAACCCAAAAATAGCCCACAACTTAAGTTGTACCCACAAGAAATCCACCGTTTGTGCAAACAAATCCGTTGTCACAAACAGGTGTTGGTTAACAGTGATTGAGATTTTGTACTACCTCTAATATTTGTGATTATGAAGAAATGAGGTGTAATGATATAATATAGTAACAAAAAAGTTTATAAACTGAAGTAGGCTGCATGTGTGGGTCAGGAGGCGCCATGGCGGTCGTTAGTCTCTGCGCGTTGACTGCGACGTTTGAATACTTCTTCGTACTCGTGACCTATTTCTGAGAATTCGAATAGACGTCAACTTTCAGCGTTTTTCAAGAGAATCAGCAACAGCAACAGTTCCATCATTTATCCATTTTTTACCTATAGACATTTTTGTCCATTGCCACAACACAACGATGACAACATTCATTTATCAGTGTTCGTTCACATCCTTGTGTTCGCCAATTTATTATATATGCAATATTTGGCGTTTCTCTACAGGAAAACAAGCATATCATATAATTTGGAAGCATTATAACAATAGAGAACACGCTGGATGACAGATGATCAAGTTCTTCGGTCTACACAACGACGACCGATCGATAACGATCGATTATGGATGGGTGGCGAGGAGCGCGCTTGCAACGAGTGACTGGTGAGATCGATAATCGAGGGAGGAGATCAGAGAAGTTCAAGGAACAGGCATACAGAATAGAATTTTGAAATGCAATATATTATAGGTGCGACAACGTAAAAGTGCTTTATTCGACTACAGGGAGACGACTGGTGTTCTGGGGATGAGTGGGAGGGGCAATCGTTAAAGTGGGAGGAGCTGCTGGTACGCTACTGCTGCACATTGTGCAGATTAGCCGAAAATACCTCCAGATATTGGCATCGGTGATCGAATATATCGGTCGGCTCGTTTACCGTATAACCCGCCTGAAAATGGCATCGCTGCTCGTTTACCATAGAGACCTGAAATATAATTATCTACTAACCAGTTATGAGAAACATTGGGAAGAAATTGAGTTTCCAAGTTCTATAAGCCTGCTCTGCAGAGAATAATGAAGATTAAGTTCCCGTCTATGGTCCATATATCCAATCCGCAAGGAGAAACTCTGGATTCTGATTTTTTCATGAATTCTCCTGAGATGCGTTCATTAGCATTCTGACTTCCCGAGGGGATGGGAGTAGGGTTGTCCAACATGTGCTCCGCATCATGACCTCCCACCCCAAGTTACAAATGATTTTCCAAAGCCGTGATAATTTACACCACGATAGTCGACGGTAGGCGAGAGTAGGCGACAGCATGCCGGCTTACGCGATGGCAAGCGATATTGAGCGACAGTATGCGGCATGGACGATTAGAAGCGGGAGGACGCTAAGCTGGGCGACAGCTCATATCATGGAGTGACAACAGGTGATGTATAGCGGTCGTGAAGCGACTGCGACATGAACTAGGCTACGTAGTGGTGCAAATAGAACAGCGATAACTGGCGAGAAAAAGCAAGGCGACAGTAAGCGACAAAAGGCGGGTCTGAGTCTGAACGAGAATTTGCGACCTAACTATGTACTGCCTTATCGAAATGTCTAGAACAAAAAACATTTTGGTAGTTGTACCACTCAACAATTACTTTCTCAAAAAAGGGACAAATAAGACTTACCACCAGAGAATGGCATTACAGCTCGTTTTCCATAAAGTCCACCAGAAAATGGCATTACGGCGCGTTTCTCCTGCCAACCTGAAAAGAACACTCACTCGTTTGCGTTCCAGAAGTTTGGCCAGATCGCACTCAAGTAAATGGGTATGGGTACATACGTGCGTCCGAGGATGCGCGCGTCAAATTGCGCGGCGAAGTGCGTGGTGATTCGAACAACTCTGGCGCCTATCAATGGGGTCCAAATTTGAAGAACAGCAGATCGACAGTCTCAGCTAACCCTACTAATCTACTGTACCTCAAATTTGGGCCCCAATGATAGGCGCCAGAGTCGTTCGAATCACCACGCACTTCGCCGCGCAATTTGCCGCGCGCATCCTCG